CGCGTCGTACCTCTGAACAAGACAGTAGTGACGACCAACAAATTCAGGTGCTTCCACAGCAAAACACGAAATTTCAAAGCTTGAAAAACGTTAAAAGAGAGTTTTTGTAACTTACAAACAGAGAATTCTTGATGTGGTTTAACAGGTAACTGTTGAAGGATCAAGAACAAGCGGCTCGAGGCAGAGTAAGACCAGTAGCTCCAGCGAGCTGACGAATAAATCAATGGGTATGACGGGAACATCGGATTTGGTGATGGTGAACAACGACAAAGGTGTTTTTGGTTTACCGGACTTGATGAAAGCTGCGGCTAACGTTCTCGGCAATACAGGCGGCGGAAACAGCCGTCCTAGTAGCAACGGAGGCGTTGGATCTGCATACAAAGCGGTGATTGCAAACGGAGTCACGGTGGTTGTGAAACGTGTGACGGTGATGAATCAAGTGAGTATAGAACTATTCGACAAGGAGATTAGAACATTGGGAGATTTACGACATCGGAATGTATTAACACCATTAGCTTACCATTTCCGGCGAGACGAGAAATTGCTAGTGTACGAATTCGTTCCTAATCTGAGTTTGCTTCACCGATTACACAGCGATCACGGTGAGGATTTTCAATTAGATTGGCCTTCTCGACTCAAAATCATTCAAGGAATCGCAAGAGGGATGTGGTATATACACAGCGAGTTAGGGTTTCTGACCTTACCACACGGAAATCTCAAATCGAGTAATATATTCATCGCAGACGACGGCGAGCCTCTCATCTCCGAATTCGGACTACAAAGACTGATCAATCCCGACGCTCAATCTCAATCTCTCGTCGCGTATAAATCTCCCGAATCGGATCGAGACGGATCCGTCTCTCCGAAATCCGATGTGTTCAGTTTCGGAGTCGTGGTTTTAGAGATCTTGACGGGGAAATTCCCGTCGCAATACGCCGGTTTAAACAGAGCCGGTGGTACGGATTTGGTGGAATGGATCGGATCCGCTGTGGAACAAGGTGGTTGGATGGATCTGTTACATCCGACGGTAGTCGCCGCCGCCGCCGATGACGTAGCGACGGAGGAGGAGATTGAGAACGTTTTACGGATCGGTGTGAGATGCACCGGAGAAGATCCAGATCGGAGACCGAATATGACTGAAGTCATCGACGAATTGACGATAGAAGAGTCAAGCGAAGACTTCATCACCATAGAAACTTAGCTTACACAGTCGCTACTGGAATTCGATCAATTTCAACCGTTAGATTTGATCAATACCAACCGTTAGATTCGAACAGATTCACAA